TGTACTGGCTAACGATGAGTTGGGAATCTGAGCAGGCGTCAACTTTCCTTGCCCCGACTGCCTTACACATGCGGATACCAGCTAGCAGGGCCTCGTATTCAGCTTCATTATTCGAAGCTTGAAACTTGAATCATAGAGCATACTCGTATTTGTCCCCCTCCGGAGAGTGAATAATTACACCCGCTCCGCAACCATTCAGCGTAGAGCTCCCGTCTACATAAACCCTCCAAACTTCATCAGTGTTATCCGGCTGTATTGGCCTTGTCATTTCAACGATGAAGTCGGCAAACGCCTGACCCTTCACTGCTCGCCTGGGTTCGAAAGTGATTTCTAAGCTTTGGATTTCCACAGCCCATTTAATCATTCTTCCGGATGACTCTAAAGTGGTCATAGGCCTTTTGAGCGGCTGATCAGTGTAAACGGTCACCGGATGTGCTAAAAAATACGGTTTCAGCCGCTTGACTGCTTTGAACAAAGCCAGACCGAATTTTTCGATCATGGGATAACGAAGTTCAGCATTCCGGAGTACATGGCTTATAAAGTATACCGGGAGCTGATTACCGTCTCTCTCATTAAGGAGGACGGCGCTCAAGGAGTGATCCGAGACGACCAAGTACATGTAGAGAGCCTCCTGGGGTAGGGGACTCACCAATCTTGGCAAAGAATGCAGGTGTTGCTTCAGCCGTTGAAATGCCGCCTCAGCCTCTTCACCCCATTCAAACCTTGACCTCTTTTTGATTGCTTGGAAGAAATACAGGCACTTGTCACCTGACCGGCTGAGGAATCTCCCCAATGCCGCCAGGCAACCGGTAAGCTTTTGAGCCTCCCTGACGGTACGTGGCGACTGCATGTCAATCACCGCCTGTACTTTGTCCGGATTGGCCTCTATGCCCCTCTGATCAATCAAAAATCCAAGAAACTTCCCGGACTCAACTCCAAAGACGCATTTTTTTGGATTTAACATGACTTTATGCCGTCTGAGGGTGGTGAGAGTTTCTCGGAGGTCGGCTAGATGATTCGCCTGCAGCTTTGATTTGACAATCATATCATCAATGTACACCTCCACGTTCCTTCCAATCTGATCATAAAAGACCGAGTTCATCATTCGCTGGAAAGTAGCAGGCGCATTCTTCAACCCAAACGGCATCACCGTGTAGCAATATAGCCCTTGATCTGTGACGAAAGCCGTCTTCTCTTGGTCTTTCTTCCACAAGGGTATCTGATGGAAGCCGGAATAGGCGTCCATGAAACTCATCAGGGCATGGCCGGCTGTAGAGTCTACCAAATGATCTATCTTTGGAAGCGGGTAGCTATCCTTTGGACAAGCCCTGTTGAGGTCCGTGTAATCTACACACATCCGCCAGGTTCCATTCGGCTTTTTCACAAGGACGACATTGGCTACCCAATCCGGGTAGTAACATTGCCGGATGAATCCAGCATCCAAGAGTTTCTTGACCTCGGTTGCTGCCGCCTGGGACCTTTCCTCGCCATGGTTCCGTTTCTTTTGCCTGACCGGCTTCTTCTTAGGATCCACATCGAGTCTATGTACAGCAAGATCCGGACTTACACCCGGCATCTCTTCTACTTCAAAGGCAAACACATCTTTGAACTCCTTCAGCAAAAGGAGCAAATCTGATCCCAAACTTTCAAACGCAGCCGTTCCAACCTTGACGGTTCTGTCTGGCCGGCTGTCTTCAAGGACAACATTAATTATTTCTCCAGCCGGCTGAGGGCGAAGGACGTTTGTCCTCTCCCCGGACAGTGATTGCTATTGTTTCTCCTTCACAGGCGCCAGTTGGTCCGCCTTCCTCTTTTTACCGGCTGGCTTTGTAGCCGGTAAGCTTTGATCACAGTCGTCAAGTTCAACAATTTCTTTCTCTTGACCGCCTGTGTCAAGCGTTGGTTTGATGTCCGAGAAGTAACACTCTCTCGCCATCTTTTGGTCCCCACTCAAGGAACCGACTGTGCCATCATCCCTTTCAAACTTTATCAACATTAGAGATGGGATGATGACTGCCTTTGAGAGGTTAAGGGTTGGACGGCCAATAATCAGATTGTAGGCAGTCAGCTCTTCTACAACAAGAAACTTAACAACCATATGCCGGCCCTTACCCTTCTCTCCGAACCGGATGGGTAGATCAATCATTCCCACCGGATGTACTACTCCTCCCCCAAAACCTACAAGAGGGTATGAGGCCGGAAGCATGCTACTGGGCTTATACTTGAGTTTCTCCAAGCACCGGTAGCTGATGAGGTCGGATGAGCTCCCGGTATCAATCAAGATCCGGCCAACTCTTTGATTGGCGATTTTGCACTCGATGACTATGGGGTCATCATGAGGCCGCCTGACCTCACCCCTATCTCTCTCGGAGATGTTAACTTCCGCAAATGAATATTCAGACGACTGGCCCTCATCCACCGAGTTGACCAGTTTCCGAATGTTGTCTTTTGTGCCCCGAATGGTAGGCCCACCTCCCGCAAATCCACCGGCTATGGTCAGGATGGTTTCCTCATCCGTATCTGATTGAGTAGCCGTCTTCTTTGGGGGTGGTCCTCTTGCTTGTTTAGGTGTACCCCTTGACTTGGAAAGATAAGATTTGAGAGCCCCCTCATCAGCGAGCCGGTCGAAGAGCCGCCTGAGGCTAAAGCAACCCTCAGTGTCGTGGCCAATTTCCTCGTGAAAAAGACAATATTTGCTCTTATCCCGGGCGCTTAGAGGACTCTTCATAGGAGACGGTTTTTCAAGATTCAACCGGTCCTTTACTTCGTTGAGAATGGAGGCACAGTCCTTGTTGAACTCGTACTTTGGCACATACGGATCCGACCTCTTCCTTTTCTGGAAAGGTTGTCCGGATGAGTCTGCCGCCCATACCCCCTTTCTCTTGTCTTCCTTTTTGGCCGACTGGGTAGGCCGATTCTCTTTTTTATCGGATCTTTTGTAATCCGTTGGAAGTTTAACAGCACACAATTCCACTGCCTGAATGTAGGCCTCCGCCTTCATGAGTGCCTCGTGAAGAGTGGAGACCCTCTTCCTAACCAAGTCAAACTTAAAAGTTGATCCATCTTTTAAGCCTTTGAAGAAATCAGTATAGGCAACGTCATCAGACAATCCATGGATTTGGATCCTCATCAGGTTAAACCGCCTGACATATGACCGGAGCCCCTCTTTGTCTCCCTGTTGTATTGCCCCTAGATCAAGGCTTGTTTTCTTGGCAGGGATGTTCATAGAAAAGTTGGACGTAAACCAGTAGGCCAAGGTCCTGAAATTATTGATGCATCCGGCTGGGAGGTTACCAAACCAACGTTGAGCAATCCCTTTCAACGTAGCCGGGAAGCACCGGCACCATGCGGCGTCATCCAAACCCTGCAAATACATCAGGTTGGTGTATGCCATAAGGTGATCTTCCGGGTTGGTGGTACCGTCGTAGGCGCCTACCAACACGTTTTTAATTTTAGACGGCTGGGTCATCTCGGTGATTTCTCTGGAGAACGCCGTTGGCTGTTCCCCAAGGTTGAGCAGCCGGAGCTGCCAGTCCATAGGCTGAACGGGCGGCTGATGCTGCCCCCCGAAAATACCTGTCTGTGCATAGGGGGATCCAAAGGGCGTATACGGGGTTCCATGCACTGCCGGTTGGATCATATGGGAGCCGGATCGAGCGGAAACCTCGCTCGTCCGGCTGTCATTGTTTGTTCTCGAGTGCCTTCCTGAGGTGGCATTGAAGCTGTCTCGAAAGGTCGATGTTGATGCCGACTCGGATCGCTGAGTCTTTTTATCTTGGATGAGCGTCCGGGCATCAGAATAGACTTTCTTGGTTCCATCCGGCTGAATGTGCCGGACGGGCTTTCTGACTCCATCTATAGGAGTGTGCATCTTTGAGAAATCAAAGAGCCTAGCTGGCATGTTTGACTTCGGATGTGGGGTAGATGCTCTACCCTTTACTCTTTTGGCTGTCTTTTTACCGTGACGCCTTTCTTCCGCCTGACCCTTACGGGGGCCGGCAATGTAGTCCAGAAGGCCTTTGATCTCTCCTTTGAAGCTCATCATCATATTCATGAGCTCATCTCTGGAGACTGGGGAGTCTCCAGCGGTAGAGGTTAACCCAAGCGGCCCCCTAGTTGGCTTGCTAGGAGCCGCCTGGTTCCCTTCCCGTTCTCTCTTATCTTTGGAACGGGTGTTCTTGGTCCTCAAAGAGCCATCCGCAGCAGTGCAGGCTTCCAAGTCATAGTTATCGGCTGTATCTTGGCCCGAATGGACCTCAACCTCCCCAGTAGGCAGATTGCCTTTACCAGGTAGTATAGGCTCAGATGTCATCTAGAAAGTACTCTCCCCACAGACGGCGCCAGATGTTTGGGGGTCTTTTATGTCCTTCGGGAGAGTTACAATTTCCTAGCAGACTTCCTTCTTACGCCTGTACCTGCACCTAGCAGACTTCCTTCTTACGCCTGTACCTGCACAAGTAACGGAGACTCCGGATGGGGGTGGGAGTTCCGCCTCCGAAGATTAAGTTAGTATCTTTTCGAAGTGGAATAAGAACAATAAAAGCTTCTCGGTTCGAGAGCGTTTCAGTAGGTTTTGGCTTTGTTTTTTTTTGTGTGGTTGCAATTAATGTATATATGTCATAAATGAGGTCTACCCTTACTATTTATAGTAAGGGAGAACTGTACCTCAATTAGGGTATAAGGGACACGTGTCTGTAAAGGGATTGGGCCTTTGCAGACCGTGGAAAGATTGACACGTGTCAAGCCTTTATTGGGCCACGTGTCTTAGGGTATTTTCACCCTAAACATGAAAGGTTGTTCATCATTGGGTTTAATTTTGGGGACACATTCACTACTAGAATTTATATAATTAACGACAATTCAATAACGATGAACTCAAAATCTCATTGTTGTAAGCACTATTTATCCACTTTATAACAATGACCAAAAATGTTTCTCGTGAATGACAAAGTAATTGCTGTACTTGATATTGATTATATGATATGTCCATCGTTAATAATTTGAAAAAAGAAAAAAAGAAAAAAAAAGTGGTCTGTCGTTAAAGAGTGATGCGGTAATAAAATTCTGAAAACCGCTAAATTGAAACTTTTTCTATCTTTATACTGCAAAAATTTTTCACGCAAAACCCTTTAATTTCCAACCTCTTTTTCTTTTTTTTTTTTTTTCTTTTGTTGGATTTCTAATTAGTTCGAAACACTTTCCACACTCAAAATTCACTGGAAATCAACGCTCAAGCAAATTCACTCAAAATCAAGAAATTCAAGACCTTTGCTCGTAATTGTTGGTGAAACGGCTCATCAATTTTCCAAATTTGAAGCTAAAAAGGGTTAATTTCAGACTTTCGGTAAGTTTATGTCTTTGTTTTGAATTGGGGTTTATTTCAGAATCAATTCTTGTTTATTTCAGAATTGGGGTTTATTTCAGAATCGGGGTTTGAATTGGGGTGATTTCAGAATTGGGGTTTGAATCAATTCTTGTTAATCTGTTGATAATTAGGAGTTTTTCTATAGATAATGTGTATAAATTGGGTTTGAATCAATTATGGCTATGATAAATCTGAAAAACTGATTTGATTAAGTTGGTTCTTATGTTTTGTTGATAATCATGTTCGTTTCTCCCTTTTCATTTTATTCTCAATTGAATTATGCTATTTGCTTTTTGGTTTGATAAATTATGTTAATAAGTACTTTGAATTTATTTTTCTGAACTTTTTAATTGTTTGCATGTTCACTTTCCAACTTCCTGATGATTCAATGTATGTATATGGATTTATTTTTTTCATGTTTTCTATAATATTGTGCAAAGCTGTCGAATGAATTTCTGGGTGTTTTGGTTGTATATTTATAGTATTAGTTAAAAAAAAAATTCACAAGATTTGTTAATTTGAATTTCTGATATGTATTGTAAAAGGACAGCTTTGTTAATTTGTGTGTTTTAATGAATTTTGTATGAGAAGTTATTGAAAAAGGACATGGGTATATAACTTGAGTACTGTAGAATCGGAAGGTATTAAAACTTTTATAACACCTTGTCTTCCACTGCCCCCCAATCTTCTCACTGGCACACCACATAGCTTCCCCATCAGTAGTCCTAGCATCCACCCTAATCCCACATCCTATCCCCTCCAACCCTCCCACATCAACATTAATTTTGATAATACCTGTGGGCGGTGTACTCCAGCAATCTTTGCCTCTCATAGTGGTCTCAGCTGGGTGCGAATCTCACCATCCATTTCAATCATGAGCTTTCCTACATACTCCAATAACTCACTAGCGCTCTTCCATTCATTCTCAAACAAACCCCAGTTTCTGGCACCACATATGACCCCAACAAATCACCATTACCCACCTTTTCTCCTGCGCACTTAACCCCTTAAAAGACTGCAGCACCCAGCCTACAAAAGACCTCCAGTTACCTTCCACAGCCCATCTAAAACCACTTGCTTCCCAGACATCCAAGGCATGCAGACAGCAGAAAATAGCATGGCAAACACTCTCATCAGTCTCCTCACAAATTCTGCAGTTAGGCGAAATGCTAGAAACACTTTTGTTCAGTCCCTTATTTGTGGGTAACGCTTCGCGACACGCCCTCCAGAAAAAGGTTTTAATTCTAGGGTTGACCTGCATACTCCACACTCCTCTCATTTCACCAAGATCTGAGCAGCTACCCCCCTCCTCCTCCCCTCCATGTATCAAATTAAACACTCACTTAACTACTCTTGACTCTAATTTCTCTTTTAGTGATATTGTTTTATATTTTGAGTTTGATTAGCTTCAGAGTAGTTGCAAAGTTGCAGGTCTTTTTGTAATTTCTAGGAAATCAATAATGATGTCTCAAACTCTTAAAGTAGGTAAATAGACATATTTTTGAGATAAAATTAAGTGATTGAATAATGGTTCTATTTATATGGACGAAAGTTTTATCTTTATTACAAAGATTGTAAAATAAAAAAAATGATATGTAAACTAAGGTTTCATTTACTAGACCTATAATTTACTAAGCTATAATTACTACGATGAAACATAATCAAGTATGTAAACACAATCAGACACTTAGTTTTGTTTCTACTTTTATTTTTTTTTAAAGATAGTTTTGTTTCTACTTAGTTCCATCTATATTTGAGATTATTGTGTTTATCTTATTTTATGTTTTTTTTTTTTATTTTTTTTATTTTTTTTTATTGCTTATAGAAAATGACTCCTAGTAAGGATTCGATGACCATTGAAGATTATGTTAATGGCCCATTGTATGTGGAGGGAGTAGATAATTTTTTAGACTATGCATTGCAAAAGTTAAAAACTTCGACAATACGTTGTCCTTGTTGTCAATGTATGAATAGGGAGTCAGGTAATCGTGAAAAAGTCAGAAAACATCTACTAGTTTTTGGAGTTGTTAAGAGGTATACCTTTTGGTATCATCATGGAGAGGAGTTAGATGAGACTCAACTCGATTCTGATGATGAGGCTGATGGGAGAGATCATGAAGACCATGATGAAATGCTTAGAATCTTGCGGGATCTTCATCTAGAGTACCATGATGGGAGTTCACCCATTGATGTTAATAATGTTGAGGAGCCAAATGCCGACACTAAGAAATTCTATAGTTTACTGAAAGATTCACAAGATCCAGTTTATGAAGGTTGCAAGAGTTATAGAATGTCAGCACTCTTAAAACTCCTTCATATCAAGACTCTTGATCGCTGGAGTAATGAATTGTTTACCATGCTATTAGATTTCCTTAGCTTTTTCCCAAAGGATCGAATTTGCCTGAATCTTACTATGAGTCAAAGAAGATCATGAAATATTTGGGGCTTTCTTATGAGAGAATTGATGCTTGTGTCAATGAATGCATGTTTATTGGAAGGATAATGAGAAGTTGGATGGATGCAATGTGTGTAGTGCTTCAAGATGGAAAATTAACAAACATAACGGGGAGGACAAATGTAAGAAATGGTAAGAGAATACCTCAGAAAACACTGCGATACTTTCCTCTAAAACCAAGGCTTCAAAGACTATTCATGTGCTCTAAAATTGCTTCTTTGATGACTTGACATCATGGTAAAAAGAAGAAAGATGGTATGATGAGACATCCTGTAGATGGATCGGCTTGGGAATCATTTGACAAAGAGTTTCCTGATTTTGCATCAGGTCCTCGAAATGTTAGGTTAGGGCTTGCTAGTGATGGTTTTCAACCCTTTGCAAATTCAAAAACCAACTATAGTATTTGTCCAGTGGTTCTTATTCCCTATAACTTACCCCCCGAGCTTTGTATGAAGCAGTCAAATATGATTCTGTCAATGCTTATTCCTGGTCCTAAAGGTCCGGGTAACGCATTTGACGTATACCTGCAACCCTTAATCGAGGAATTGAATGACTTATGGGCCATTGGGGTAAATAATTTTGATGCAGCAACTCAACATCATTTTCAACTGCGTGCAGCTTTGATGTGGACTATTAATGATTTTCTAGCGTATGCAATGTTATCTGGATGGAGTACTAAGGGTTATCTAGCATGTCCTTGCTGTCTTAAAGATACCTGGTCGTAGAGGCTATCTCATGGGGGCAAAGAATGCTTTGTGGCCATCGAGTGTATTTGCCAAATAATCATAGATGGCGAAAGGATAAGGCTTCATTTGATGGAACAGTTGAGCATGGTTTACCTCCAAAGCCTTGTTCAATCGACGAAATTCTTCATCAGCTAGAGGATCTCGAAAATATCATACTGTCTAATGATCCACGAGTGAAGACAAAGATATCTCATGAGCTTAGGGGAGACAATTGGAATAAGAAAAGCATTTTCTTTAAGCTTCCATATTGGAGCACACATCTATTACGACATAATTTGGATGTGATGCATATTGAGAAAAACATATGTGAAAGCATTCTTGGTACAATGATGAATATTAAAGGGAAGACACAAGACACCATAAAATCTCGTCATGACTTACAGGCTATAGGGTTGAGGCCATCATTGCATCCAACCAAAGAAGGGGACAAATGGAAGATGCCACCAGCCCCATTTACTTTTTCCTCTGTCAAAAAGCAAAAATTCTGCAAATTTTTGAAAGATTTAAAGGTTCCCGATGGTTTTTCATCTAATTTATCATATTGTGTTAACTCTAAGGAGGCCAAAATTTCAGGTTTAAAGAGTCATGATTACCATGTCATACTCGAACATCTTCCTTTAGCAATGCGTGGCCTACTAACTCCACTTGTACGTGAAGCACTAATTGAGTTATCAAGGTATTTTATATATTATGTGCTAAAGTAATCAATGTGGAAGAGTTGAAGCAACTAGAGTCTCAAATTCCTATTACTCTCTGCAAATTCGAGAAAGTATTTCCTCCTTTATTTGATGTGATGATGCATTTGCCTATTCATCTAGCTAGTGAAGCCATAGCTGGGGGTCCTGTTCAGTTCAGATGGATGTACCGTATTGAACAATATATGTACAAGCTTAAGTCTTATATAAGGAATAGGGCTCATCCAGAGGCTTCGATTGTAGAGGGCTATTTAGCAGATGAGTGCATGACTCTTTGCTCAAGGTACATGCAGAATGTTGAAACTAGATTTAATCGTCTTGAGCGAAATTATGAAAATGCATATAGTGGTGATGAGGCCTTTCCTATATTTAGTCATCTTGGTCGAGGCTTAGGTGCTCCCAATATCATTGATGTTCCAAAGTGTGAGTTAGATCAAGCTCATAATTATATTTTGAAGAATTGTGATGAGGTTCAACCGTTCCTTGAGTAAGACTCTTAGCCTTAGTAAGTTTCTTCCTTTTTTTCTTTGCTGTAATTTTTTTTTAATAACTTTTTTTTTTTTTTTCAGAAAATTTTGTCAGGCTAATGCAACCAATGGATTATCTGAGGAGGAATGGAGTGAGACTAAAGAAGAAGTAAGCCATTAAATTTTCATCAGATTTTAAGATAATTAAAACTTGAAGTACATTAATTTTTTTTTCTTCTTTTTTCTTCTCTAGTAGGTTGCTCGGTTATATGAGACTAATAAGAGCAAAGAAATGGAAAATCTCCTTTCACTGTCACGTGGCCCAACCCAATATGTAACCTCTTTTAGTGGTTATATTGTGAATGGGTATAGATTTCACATACAAAATCGTGAAAACGCTTTGAGAATACAAAATAGTGGAGTGGTTGTGATTGGAAACACGGGAGAAGGAGATGATAACATAGATTATTATGAAGTAGTAACTGATATAATTGAGATGCAATATCTTGGAGGAAATCGAGTTGTTTTATTTTGTTGTAAATGGTGGGATGTATTTGATAAGGTTAGAGGAATAAGAGAAGATGAATATGGAATTGTTAGTGTTAATTGCAATAAGCAATTAAAAACTAATGAACCATTTATCTTAGCTAGCCAAGCAACACAAGCTTTTTATGCCATTGACAATGCTATCAAAGGCTGGTATGTCGTGTTAAAGACTCAACCTCGGAGTTTATCAAATGAGGAGGTGACTGATTTTGAGGAAGGTGATGCATATCAGCAGGGTGAATTTTTTAAGCCTACTTATGTTGCAACCACGTCTACAACTGCAAGTGCTGAAATTTGTAGAAGTCGGCTAGGTGTAGATCCAAATTTTGTGATTGACACGTCAAAAGATATTGGAGAGGAAGTACCTATGAAGAGGAGAAGAGAAGAATAATCTGTTAATTAGCTTTCTTTTAAGCTATTTAATTTTATTAATAGGAATTTTTTGTGGTATTTCACTATTTTGAGGGCATACTAATAAAATAAAACAGATCAGGATCATACTGTGAATTCTGTTCTGCATGTTTACATTCTAAATTTTATGAAAAATGACCTCAATTATCTGAACATTGGGGAGATGAAAGGAATATATATTTTTCTTCGCCACATATGATCAGCTGACATTAGCATATGCAGATCAGCTGCATAGTTTCAATTAAGCATTTGCACTTATTAGTGACTTAGTTTTGAGTGTAATTTATCTGTATATGCATTCAAAATTTGGAGGTTACAGTTTTTTTTTATTTTTATGATTAATTATATAAGACAACCTGCATTGATCTATCATGTTTATCTGATTTTACACATCATTGATTTACTTTGTGTTGATTGTAAGATATCTGTATACGCATTTAAAACTTGCAGGTTACGGGCTGCTTTTTTATATTTTTTTTTTATTTTTTAATTACTATGATTATGGCTATACAAAATACAAGTTATGGACCTCTATAAGATTGAAAAGCATTGTTTTTAATTAATTATACTTGGATTTGTCTGAATTTTTTTTATTAGCAATTAGTATCAGGTAAAACAGATCCCTCTTTTCAGTTTGTCTATCTGTGTGTGTGCAATTAGAAGAAAAGCTATTCAAGCTGGATACATTCTAAATTTTATTCAAATCTGTCTTTTTTTTTTTTTTTTTTTTTCTACTTCTTATTATAAGTTAGACCTTGTAATATATGCGTTGCTTTTCTTAATATAATTTTTTTTTAATGATGTTGACAGGAACATTATGGTTGATCTTACTGGACATACTCATAGACCATCTAATCTAAGATCTAAAAGAGAGTATGTACCACCTCTTATGCTCGCAAAAGGACGTGGAAAGGGATTAGCAGGTCTGTATGCATTCAAAAGTAATGCTAGACCTAATGTTGATGGCATTGGGGCTAGTAGTGATCTTTTATAGAGAAGTAAACGTCCTATAATCCATTCTAGTTCTAGTGCTGATTCTCTTTGTGTTAATAAAGGTCATATAACATCAAATAAACGCTCTTTTGGTAATGTTATTAATTATGCTCCCACTATTTCTCCTAATAATGTAGAAAGAAATGTAAGAGCTTCCTTTAATCCATTACCTAAGCCCCATATTCAAAATAACAATGATATGAATGTAGACGATCATAATTCATCTTCTGAGTCATGTAATGAGAATATCAATGATGATAATGAGCTACATTATTCTTCACCCGAAGATGAAGATATGCATTATCAAGAAGGCTATGCAAATTCTGATGGCCATAATAATGAGTCAAACTTTCAAGATGATGAAAATGACAATGAAATGGAGGCACATACAACAGTTCAAGGAGATGCCAGTGGTAATGCTTAAACTATTTATAATTGCTTTGATTAAATTTGTTTAATTCTGCCCATGTCAGTTAATGAACCACAATAAGTTTGCTTTTATTTTGATATAAATATAGGTTGTTTGTATTTTCTCTTTGTCATTTATTTTTTGATACTTTTAGCAATAAATTCTTTCTTTTGAAGGTGGTGACCAATCTACTAGTAAGAAGAAAGCAAGGGATGAAAAAAAAGAGGAGGAAACAAATGTAAAGAAATTGCTAGACTAAAACCCAATGAGAAGCTACATATCGAGTTCTTCAACAATCGAGCCGTAGGGGAGAGTCACAAAGTATTTTCAAGACATTTGGGGATCATAGTCCGAGATACTAACATTTGTCCTCTAAGAGTGCACAAATGGGATGATATTGGGGACAGAGAAAAAGATCACATGTGGACAGCAGTCACGGTAAGGATTAAGAACAATAATTTTGATGCTTTGACTTTTGTTTGCCAAGTTCTGTTTTATTAATTCAGTCCGAGTGAGGATTGTTTAAAATCAGTTTTTACGGGTTGCTGGATGTTATATACATTATTTATATATTATGAACACTTCATAACATTATCTTTTCTTAGGATGTTTTCACAAATGAAAACATGGAAATTTATAAGGAGCATGTTCTTGGGCATATGAAAGAGTTGTGGACAAATTGGAGAGGAGATCTATTAAGGTACAATGTTACAAAGAAAAGACTATCTTTAGAAGCTGCTGCTAAAGGTAATCCACCTAAGGGACTTGATAAGCAAGAGTGGAGCTGGCTCATAAAGGAAATTTTTTCAAAGGATGACTTCAAGGTATTTTTTACTTGCGCAGATAGTATGGATATATGTATTGAATTTTTTTGAGATAATTTTTTTTCAGAAAAGAAGTGAAAGAAACTCTGTTGACCGAAGTAAATATCCTAAAGCGTTAATGCCACGTACTGGGAGCAAGCCTATTAGGCAAATCATTTGGGACGATTTGGTATATAATTAGTTTGGTAGCTTATTTTTTAATTTGATTTCAAAATATCAGATATTCTTGGGATAACAATAATGTGACATGTCATGATAGGGAGGAAGTAAAGGGAATAAACCTACTTTGGTTGATGTGTTTTATACCACTCGCAAAATTGGCAATAGCCTTCCTAACGCGGAGACAATCCAGAAACATGTATGTACTTTATTTACTTTGGTTAACTTTTTTTTCTTTACCTTTTATTTATTTATTTTTTATGTTTCTTCTTCTGTAATATTAATTTGGTCATGCTTATATATGCTGTAGGCTGAAATTCAAGAAACAATGGAAAAAGATCCATCACTTTTTATGTCCAGGTAACTATAACTCTCTTTTGATGTGAGTTGTTAAACATTGTGGACTACTTCAGGCTATTTTCCCTCTCCCCGTAGTGCTTGCTGATTTTTCTGTTCTGTTGTTTTGATTTTGCTGTTCTGATTTTGTTAATCTGCTATTTTGATTTTGCTGATCTGCTGTTCTGATTTTTCTGTCCTGCTGTTCTGATTTTGCTGTTCTGCTATTCTGATTTTGCTGTTTAGCTGCTTGTACTTCTGCCCCCTTGAGTTTGTTCTTTCTTTTAGCATAAACCTGAAGTGGTGGCTGACCTGAATGAGGCGGTTGACCCGAATGAAGGGCTGGGTTACTTGGGTCCATGACATACACCCCCCTGAATTGCAAACTGAAAAAGGCATATTATACTAGCTAATTGGCAATTTTTGGCTCTCTTGACAATTAGATAGCGTATTGCAAACCCGTACCAAATCTCATACCAGAAAATTAGGTAGCATCGGAAATAATGTCTCATATTTGATTTATTTGAGTTTCTTTATTTGTTTTATTAGTTTTGGAGTGGTGAATGAGTATGGATATCCTATGATGTAAGTGGGAATTAGACATGAGTCATGTTGTTTTAGTGAATCTTTGAATCATCAGCAAGTCTCTTTTTATCCAACTGTGGGGTAAAATTTAAGTTTCTGTGTTTCTTGAGTTTCAGAATTCATACTGCATTAAGTTTAGTTGCGACCAAGTTAGCAGACTAACCTCTTTATACTATGCCTCTGGTCGTACATCGAGCTTCACAAAACTATTCTCCTTCTGCAGGCGCAGAGCTTCTTTAACATCTACACTTCTTACCTGAGGAAACCAGATATTAGGACTTGTATGTCATTTATGAAAGTATTGCAAATTACACCCTCGTTTAACTGTGTCTAGCTATATTCTTATCTTAGGACTGGCACGAGTCTCAAACTAAATCTTATAGAGCACAAACTCCATCTAGAGCTAGGTACTGACTATTTCTCTCACACCAATCCCTTTTGTGATAAACTTTTTGTTTGAATCCTAGATTATTGTTCTAAACTTCTATAGTGGATGTAATTTTGCCTAATGCTTATCAAACCTAAATATCAGATTAGTAAGATAAGCAGATGTCAGAGGAATTTGTCTGACTTTTAAAATTGAAGGAAATGATAATTTTTTATCATGTAGATTTTCCATATGAATATATTAAATGATTTATATGTCTATTGAGCAGACACTTTATTTTCCATGCATTTTAATTTCTCTACAATTAATTTTGTGTTCGGTAACATACTTTAATTTCTTTCTTTGAAACTTAGGTTGCACAAAAGGTTTTTAAATCCAAGTCTTGAGATCGTGTTGTTGGTTTAGGTGGAGGAATAACTTTAAAAGATATGATTGGACCACAACCAAGTAGAGAAGAGCTTCAAATTGAGTTGACTGCAGCCCAAAAAAAAAAATGATCTTACAAATCATGTGGAGACTATTCTAGAAGAAAACACCGAACTTAAGAGTCGCATGGGTTTGGTTGAAGCTGAAATGAAGATGTTGAAAGATACATTGATAAAACAATTCAATGCTTCGTCTTCGAACAATGGTTCCAACACAAACTCCGAGTACCTGATTGTGCGTGGAGAGCTTTAATGGTTAGGCCCATAGATTTAAATTTCAATCATTGTTTAGTTTGTTTAAGAATTAATAAATACTTTTAGCATTAAGGTTTACTTTAGAATTTTGACATGGAGTTTTTATTTATTAATTGTGTAGTATGGATCATACTAATTTTGTATGACAATATTTTTACTTGATATAAAAATTGTTCATGATTGCAGATAATATGTATATACTAACTAATTATTTCATCATAAAAATACAGATTCAAATAATTGTTACAGGCTAGGGCATGCAGCTCTTGTACTATATATCCATTTATAACGATAAACATTTACCGTTGTTGTTTCACAAAATTTTGAATAATTAGATGGTTTTCATATGATTTAACGAGGGATAATGTGGTCTTTATTGAATAAAAGTTTGTCGTTTAATGATATTTAATTACGACAACAAGGTGCATCGTTGTTAATAAATAACGGTGAGAAATTTTTTTGTCGTTTTTAAGTAACGACAAATATGAACATTGTCGTTAGTAACTAACGACGAACATCGTCGTTATAACCAATAACGAGGGAACCTGTTACATCAACTTGACGATGAATTTTTTTTTTGTCGTTAATAATTTAACGACCGCTTTTTGGGCTTATAACGACAAATTTGTTTTTCGTTAAAAACCCTTTTTTTAGTAGTGATTTTTAAGTGTCTACAACGAGGTATTCTATTTAACACATATATAATTTCCGGTTAATATGGCCTCTCCCCAAAGATTTTTCGGAGCCTCGGAATTTACTAACATAACATTAGTCAAATCAATTAGAGTCCTATTTTTACGCTTCGCTACACCATTAGACTCCGGTGAATAGGGTAGAGTAATTTCATGTATGATTCCTAAGGATTTTATGTGGTCTATCTATCCTAAGGAAGCATACTCTGATCTTGTCCTCTATCACCACGAAAATTTTAATTATACGCTAAAATTGATTTGCCACCTCTTTTATAAAAGTGGTTAAGCGGTCAAAAGCATCACTTTTAATTTTCATCAAATAGACAAAAGTAAATCGTGAATAGTCATCTATAAAAGTAATAAAGTACCTTTGTCCACCTCTGGTCAATATACTTACAAAGCTCACATATATCGGTATGTATAAGTTCTAACAATTGAGTGTGTCTTTCAACTTTATGGTGAGGCTTTTTTGTAATTTTAGTCATACTACAAACTTCACATTGTTTAAATTTATTACTAATTTAGGTAAGGTCTAAAGAGCTCATGTCGTTGATAGATATATTTACTATTAATATAACATAAACGAGCATGCCAAACATTAACACAATTCACGATATAAACAGAATTAGTAGTACTTTTATTCATCTCAACATTCAATTTGAACATTCCATCACAAGCATAACCTTTACCAACAAATACATTATTCTTGGTAATAGTATAACTATCATTTTTGATCACCTATTCAATACCTGCGTTGTTAAGGAGATAATCGGAAACAAGATTCTTACGAATATGAGGAGCATGGAGGACATCCTTTAAGGTCAAAACTTTTCCAGAAGTGAATTTAAGCTCAATATCACCAACACCAAGAATATTAGTAGAGTGAGAATCTCCTAGAAGGACTTTTCTTTCGACATTGGTAGCTTAGGGTGATAATTTTTAAACTAATTTCTATATATCATGACAAACATGTTTAGAAGCTCCGGTATCAATCCACCAACCCTCATAATTATCAACCATGTTAATTTCAGTAATCATGGCTACAAGAGGTTCCTCTACCATGTTGGCTTAAGAAGTAGGTCCATTTTTCTTATTTTCTACAATTTTTTAGCAATATGACCATACTTACCACACACCCAACATTGAGGTTTATTAAATTGATTCTTATATTGGAGGAGTTGGGGTAAGATTGATTTCCGTTATTATTAGACCTAGGCTTATTATCATAATTATTTCTATTATGGTTATGTTTGCCATGACCTTTATTCTTAAAATTTTTACCCTTAGGTTTAATATGAGCATTATTTTTACCATTGTTATGACTTTTAGGAGAGTCCTCATTAGAAGTGATAAAATTTACCTTACTAGAATCATCATTTTCATTTTTTGTCACATTGTCACGCTTTAGTGATTCCTCCTCAACACGTATCCTTGTCAAGAGATCGATTACCTTTAAATCATATTGCTTCCGTCTCAAGGTCTTTTGAAATTCGTCCCATGATGGTGGTATAACTTATCAATGATGACCGCAACTTGCATTTGTTCATCAACGGTGATACCTTCAGATTGGATATCGTGGTCGTACTTTTGAAGCTCTTGAACTTGTGCCACCACGGACTTGTTATCCTCCAATTTGAAATAGAAGAACTTGCTACAAGCGAACTTCTTGGCTCCGGCTTCTTCGATATCATTTTTTTGTTGGATAGCTTTCCATATATTTCTTGCATTGGTGTAGAAATTAGAGTAGTAGTCATAAAGTTCATCGGACAAACAATTGAGTAAATAATTTCTACAATCTTCTTCGTCGCTCTTTCACTTCTCAACTTCCTTATTGTGCTTCTCGAGCTCTCCAGGTTTCATTCCGGTGGTACCTTTTTTAGTAAGATTTTTGGTGTTCAAAATCCATACTACTTTCATGAGATTCAAGTAGAACAACACCTTCTTGGACCAAAGTTTGAAAAATTCACAAGTAAACTTGAAATGCTTGATAAAATCATTAGGATTGGAAGTGGTTGTTGAAGGGTCCATGGTTCGTCTTGAGATTGTTGGAAAATAAGACAAGAAAAATGGGAAAATAAAAAAAAATATAAAGTGGAAAAATAATCTGGAAATTTAGTTGGGTGATCATGAGTCGCGGATAACCTTCAACTCTCCTCAAGACGATTCACGCCCTCCAATATAAATCGGAGTAAACGGCGCGTCGTCCCCAAGATAAAACCCAACTTATACACTCCCTAATCTGCGTATTAAGGAGTAGAAGCTTATATAATAACCAAAATACATGACTTTTGTATATTATCCAAGTATGTGGGGGAATGTATTGTATGTTGTATATTTGTGTCTATCACCTAAGGCTTAAGCTACACAAATATATATATGTATCTGACCACCATAAGTGCAAAAATGTTGCAAAAATAAATCAGAAGTTACAACTCTAAACAACTTGTAACTCCCACTTAATTATCAACAATGAAATCCAATTTTAAATCACCATCATTACTTTGATTTGTGATCAAAGTCAAATAAAGATAAATATCTATGCTTTAATGTAGAAGATTTTATTTATAATTTAAATTTAAAAAATAAAAAACATTAAATTAAAAATCAATTAATATAAATTATTTTTAGTTGAAATATCCAACATACGCTCATAAATTTATTAATTATACATTTATACCGTTAAGTATTTGACCACTTTATTCAATCGAATAAGTTAGGAGTATCATTCTAAGTCATATACAAATGTGGGCCGGGAGAGATGAGTGAGAATTTCTTGAAAAGAACTCTGATAATTTTTCTTCTTTCAAATTAAGGTAACTTCTCACTTCTCAACCTCACAACCTATATTGAGATACTGGATCATAAAACTTTTCGTTCTGATCCCTTTCTTGACATTTTCTATCCTATTTTACAAAAATAATATTCCTACAATTATGTTGAAAATAAAATGATATGCACTTGTTCTTCGTCATTTGGTGAACTATAATGGATGATGCTCCTCAGGCTCTTGTACATACCCTAAGCTTGTCCTGGTGGTCGTCTAGAATTTCCGGCTCGCCTAAACAGAGGAGAAAAAATGACGGATTAGATTTAAAAGTTATACTACTAAGTATATTTTTATTTTATTTTATTTTATTAAGGAATGGTAAACAAAAATTAGGATAGTGTTCAATAAGAAAGATATGCAAATTGTACATGACTATGTGAACATGTATGTAAAATTTCGTCACGCTAATATGGTTAGGGTATATTTTAAGGGACAAAAAGAGTTGATGTATTTAATTGATTAGCACAGATTTTAGATTTATGGAGGTTTATTAAAAAAGAAAAAAAAAAATTAAAAAATAATGAGGGGATTGAAATGCTTAAATACTAGTCATATACTGAGTAACTTTTAAGTTAAAGAGTCCCTTGGGTTAGATAAATAGGTATCCATTGATGAGGTCAAATTTAGATGTAGTTTAAGTCTGATTTTGAGAATTCTCCGCTTATTAAACATTTATGATTGTATGGTAAAAAAGAACAACCAGTGATAAGTGAACTTGTTGATTCTATTCGTGTGACACACACCCAATGAGATCTTCCAATAACTTTTATTATGGAGAAAATTTTATTTATCAAAGACATCCTTCTACCTATTCCTTATAGTGCGGCTCCTATCTCTTCTACCGCCGTTTCCTAATACTCTTTTTCTGACTTCTCAATATTTAGGAATATTAAGTAATCGGTGATCATAATAAAAAGAATATTCCTTATTCAAATTCTAATCAAGGTAAGCTAGAATTGCAAATTTTGGTGTATAGATGACTGAATCTAAAGGAAGGTATGATTATCAATGGCTAGGCGACATGTGTGTTTTTCACACACCCTTGTGTATATGGACCACCCGAGTGTATATATGTACGTAGACCTAGCCGTAGATAGAAAATTCAACAAAAGAAATACGGAGTAGAGGTAAATCTTATAACTACGTACTTCAGTACGTTGTGATGTGGCCAGTGACCACTATAAGTTGTTTGCTTATTAAAGGAGTTGTACAAAATTAAAGGAGCGTTATTTGACTAGCTTTTCAATTCAAACCTGCTCAAAGTATATCTAGTATTAAGGGTTCTAAATAAAGAGAGATGTACAAAAGCATGTCTGATTTTGTTTATTCATAATTTTCAAAAGAAGATGCTAGCAAACTAAAGATAACAAATGACTCATAAATACTAAGTTGTCCGTTTTTACTTGACTATATTTATTCATCACACTTGCTAATTAATGTATTATTTTACCGTTGAAATTTTAAATGACTATATTTTTCCTTACTATAATTTAAAAATCACAAAAGTCAAAATAAGCTCAACAAAAGCAAAATAGAGGAAGTACCAAGTAAAATCAAAGCAAAGTAAAATCAAAGTATTAAAATATGGATAAATAGTCCGTCAAAAAGATAATTAAGCAGGGATTTGTTCACTAATTATACCATAATATATTCTGTAAATCAAAGTACAAAAATGAAGGATCCGTAATTAAAAAGTACATTTGTTAATTAGTTGATACTTACAGAGACTGAAAAGACAGGCTATCTACTTTGATAAGGCAACAAAAGCAGCTTCAAAATGCTAAGTGTTGTTGTAAGTCACTTTAAGGAAGATGCCTGTTCAGACAATAATCTCTTTAATTTAATGTCTTTTTATTAAAAACATTGCTTAGCTAACAGGTACTTGTTTAAGATATTAAAAAGAAGAAAAAAAGAGATGGTAGAACTTAAAAAAAAAAAAAAAAAAAAAAAAAGAAGAGTTTCTGCAAAAAGGTTCAAGTGGAGCAAAATTATATGTTAATTAACTTTATGCAATCTTAAGGAAGTTGGAATAAAGCATATAGATACAAGAACATTGCTTTTCATTTACTTAGTTTGGTGAAATTTGAATTTGAGGGATAATACGCACCACCTTTGCGACTGTATCTTTTGTAAGAAGAATTTATTTAATCATAGACTTTATTACTATTAGGTAATAATTCTAAATTTCGAGGCGATATGCGCAATCATCAAGGCAATGCGAGTTTAGTTAATAGGTCAATAATGCCTCAACAATCTTAGGAACATCAAAGATTTCCTTGATAATATCTCCTATAGTATTTCCGTGCCCCTATCCTTATCGATATTGTACTATGCAAGGAGGCAATTGCCTTCAAGAATGAGATGAAGCGACATACAAAAATCATGTTAGAATTAAAATATCTTAGCTAAGGAAATTCATGCAAGCCATTCTATCTCTTTTTTCCTAAGGAAATTCATGCAAGCCATTCTATCCCTTTTTTCCTTAAGAAAATTCATGCAAGCCATTCTATAAACATGATAACAAAATAAGGAGCTAGTTGTTTTGAGTAGGGAATGCTTGCTTTTTTTCTTGAAAGAATATTTAGAGATATGTAAGTGAAGTGTGCCAAGATTCTTTATTTTCTTTAGGATATAGATGAAACAAACATATCAAAAAATGCTTCTCAAGATAAGGTATACACTAATTCTTGGATATGTTAATACATGTACTTAGAGATTATTTTTATTGGGTGTATTGTGTATAAGTATTTAAAAGCCTTTTTTTTTTTTCTAAGGTTTTGGGAGTGCTTTACCATACTTACAAAATCCTAGAAATTTCCTAATACAGATCGAGTAGTTAGGAACTAAGTTTCAAAAAAAAAAAAAGTATTGAATATTTTAAACCAACACAAAAAAAAATAAAATAAATTATATTACTACATCAAGTCTACAACTAACGTTAACATTTTAAGATTTAGAGAATATAACATTAAAAATTGCATGGATAAATTTTCTCTCAATGTCTAATGATTGAATAATAGGGACGACAAACAAAGACATGAATATCCATGTGTTTTTTGGTTTTGTTTTCCATGCATGAAATCTATATATATATAAAAGCAAATTTTAGACTTTTTTATAATAAGGAAATGAATAATACAAATTAAGAAACCCGTCTAACTAGAGTTTTATCTAATTTATTGTTCTCAGCAAATTATAAAAAACAGAAGTAACGAAATGATGGAGATATAATTGAATAACAATTTTAAATTTAAAACTATCTAGCAGCTACGAACACACCTGTTATGTATGGGATCAGGACCATTAGGTACTTTTCTTTTGCTCATGTAGTTTATATTCACCTTCGAGCGAGCTAAGTGCTTCTCTCTTCCAACCGTGAGCACTTCATGATTCACATTATTCTTGTCTAAAGGATTTGTTGTTGCCATCGTCGTCGTTCCTCTACTAGCTAAAACTCCAACCAAAGAAAGCCACAAAAAGCTTATTAATCTTAATAAGCCCTTAATAGACCTATTAAATCTCCCACTACTCATATTCCAACTTCTTTAATTTGTTCTCCTCCTCTTTGCTTGTATATAAGTTTATATATAAAACTAAGGAGGAAGAAGAACCTATGAAGAGCAAAAGCTTTATTATGCTTGCATGATGATGAGAAACAATTGTGCGATATTAATATTAGATTATTAATTACTTAATTAGTCTAAGATTTTGTGTTTAGGGTTTTGAATTTATGTTGTGGCTCTACCTAATTAAAATAGATAACTTATAAGAGAGGAAATGAATTGAAGTAGCTAGGAAAAGCAAATAAGGCAAGGAATTGTTGCTTTCTTCATAAGAGGAATTGGTCTAAACTTGTCTTGGAGGAAGGTTGGATATATTATTTCCTTTATAGGTTTAAGGGATTTTCTTACACTTTCTCGAACCTAGAGGCGAGAGAAAAGGAAGAAATATAGAATGAAGATGTTATCTGGTTTGGAACGTGACATGGAGACAAGGCTCCTAGCTTTATAATGCTGAGTTCCCAATACCAACACTACACTTTTGCTTTGAATTGTGTATTTTTATGCATCTACAAATACAATACCCCAAAAGCTTAAGGAAATAACTTATCATCATTTCTTAGGTTTGTATGAGAACAAACGTTTGTAGGAGAATAAGAGCTGGCATATGTATGCCAATATACTACCAAGCAAAGCTTGATGTGGTTAAATTGACATTCATCGCCTTGTAAGTTGATGTGGTTAAATTGACATTCATCGCCTTGTAAGTTCGTTGTAGCCTTGAGGTAATAAGGTTGAATCCTCCCTACTGTAGGTGCTAGGAGATTAAATTTCTTAACATGTTCCCTTACTTTAATTCCAACTAAATGAAAGCCCGTGCGATGCACGATTTTTTATACATAAATCTCATAAAAAGGTAATTTTCTTAATTTAACCCTATAATTTTTTTTATTATTTTGCTTGTTAGAAAACAGATAATTTGTTTTATTTTTATGCAACTTATCATGCGACCTTAATTTACTTAATATTAGTTATATGAAAATTATAAGTATGATAAATATTAGAATAAAATCATAATCCTATTCGTATTTTTTTAACCTATGATTCGTTTGTATAACGAAAACACTTGTTCCACTATACATATATAGTTATAGAATCACTATTTTTCTTTCACAAACAATAACTTAGACCACCATTATTCTTTTACTCCGTATCAACTTTATACAATGAAAAATTAATAAAGTAAACCCAAAACTACAAGGTTAAAATAAAGACGGTGGGAGTAATAGTAAAAGATATGACTTTATAAATTTTTAAATAGTTAAATGAAATATATATATACTACCAAGAGTGTTGCATTACTAAAATTAATCTAATTGAATAAAATTAAATCTTTATAATGAAATTTCATTATCATATGTCCTTAATAATAGAGTTATAATGCATACACTACTACAATGATTATTACAATAATAATATAGATATTCTACCAGAAACTATAATATATAAATAATCAAAATTATCAGAGACATCTCTTACAATCTTTAATTTTTTTCCCTACTATTGTAACATTATAGTGACTTAGGACCTATTCTGATTTACTGAACTGATTGAAGCTGAACTGAACTGAATATTTTATGAGAGAAGGAAATTAGAAACTGAACTGAAAATAATAAGCTGAAGAGAACATACCCTTACTTTTCCAATCAATACATTTCTCTTTTGGATTTATAAGTGCTTGAAGAAATTTCTTTCAATTGGCGCATGAACATAATCCCTTCAAATACAGAATAATTAATATTAAGTTGTTTAACAAAATTTAATACGATAAGTAACATAATTAGATTAGGTAAAATAAAACAAAACATACAAATTATAAAATAATGAATAACAATCAATTTATTTTGTTTACCATCAGAAATCCTTGATATACTTACATTATTTCCAATATTTTTTGTTAATCAATGAATTAGACTTGAAAAAAATTCACACCATGAAAAAGTGTAGATAAATAATATTCACATGTTTGTGTTTTTTGTATAGTATATATATATTGTCTATTTACAATTGAAAAAAAAAATCAAAATTATATTTTTGAGAGGATGTATACAAATCTTTAATATCATCCTATCTTATATATTTGTGGAGTAGCAAATAAATCTCTTATAAAAATTTTTATCTAATCATGAAATGGGTTGCTAGATAAGATAAAAATTGAACATTATTGTTTTTTTTTTTTGAAGAATATTGATAAAGATTGAACGTTATTGTTATTATTATTTTTTTTGAAAAATATTGATTTTTTTAAACTTTTTTTTGAAGAATATTAGTTAATTATTAATAATTTATATTTCTTTTAAAATATTTAAAAAAAAAAAGTTGATTGAACGTTTTCTTAAAAATAAAATGAACATATATTTTCCTTTTTCAAATATTTAATTATAAAGTGTTTGTATATAATAATTGTATAATTTATAGTTTTTTTTTAAAAAAATTAAATCCTAATATCAAAAGATCATCTTTAAAAAAGATAATTTTTAGTTTTAACATATTTAAATCTAAATAAATCATTATTCGTCGTTTTTACCTATGTAGATTTTTTTTTTAAATTTCATTCGTCACTTTTGCTTATGTGGCGAGTGAATTTTTAAATTCTAAAATAAAATGCAAATCTAACTTTCAATTGGTCGAAATAATACCTTTGCTTATGTGGCGCGCCAAATGCTCTCGAAAAATGCCTACTTTATTTATATATATTAGATTGGCCTAGCCCCGCAAAAACTGGACTATGTGATAATTGATGTTCAAGATTTTCCTTACAACAAAAACTTATTTTGTACGTTGTACTATGTGTAGCTACTCCAACTTATTTGGAAATTTCATCGTCTTATCCATCGTTAGCGATAAATTTTGGTAAATAATATACGAAGAATAAAACAAGTAGAAATTTTAAGAAAGTGATTGAAAAACTAATTATATATAGTTGTTAAGAAAAATATATATTGTGAATTTCAAAATTTTAGAATTGGCAATTATCTAGTGATACAAATTGACCTAAAATGAGTCCGAGTTTATTGGTTTCAAAATGGAGGGTTTTAGGTGGCTTCGCTCTACTATAAGTCGTTCTTGTGACGTGAAGTGTTTGGATGTAGCCTCTCTAGACAGTCAGTTTAGTGGGTTACTTTATGTATATATTATTATATTGCTATTTATTAGATTCACAAAGGAACACCGACTAAACTTGCATGCATTATTGTGTACGTGTTATATGATTTTTCTCAAATTTATACAGCGTACAGGATCGTACGCCATTGTATTGATCGATTGCAATATTAATTTTTTGATTGACAAGATTGCTTTATATATTTTTACTTTTGAACATAGGAGTAATACATTATAGTATTACATATGTGGATGTTAATGGTCAAGCATATATGCTTTGATCACTTGAACTATTCAAGGAACAAACTTGAGACACCTAGTTCAAATGACAATCCCAACAATCATTTTAGTAATGCTAATTAATCAAAGCTTGATCATGAAGAATACAACAATTAGATTTCAAACCGTAAAATTAAACTTTGAAATAGGTTAAAAAGAATAGACTAATTTAAAAAATTAAATAAATAAATAAATAAAAAAGAAAAAAAATAAAGAAGCAGGTTCTATAGAAAGGGTAAGTGAAGGGGGAATATCATGCACAACAAACATGAACATCAATTGGTTAAAGCAAATGGTACTTGTGCTGTTTTTATAAGTGCTTTCTCTTTAGATTCACAATAGTAGTTTTTAAAAGTTTCGGCCAAAGGAAGAATCAAATTCTCCTCTATATCCTTATTTCACTTTCACTGTGTCTATTCTTTATCACCTTCTCATATAAAGTTTAAAAATTGAATAATGTAAGGACTTGTTTGTTTTTATTGCGTTGCTAGATTTCACTTTATGTTTTTTGGTTTTTTTTTTTTTACACCATTATATATTTTAAATTCAAAAAAGATAATGCATATTTAATGTTTGTTCGTTTATTAAATTTGAAAACTAAAAAATAAAAAATAAAAAAAAATCAAGAAATAGTAGTTTTCACTATATAGTTGGTAGTTTTCAAAAGCAAAATGATTAATATAGTATCTCTCCGTCCCTATTTTGTTCCATTTAACTTTTTATGGTATCCAAAATTTGTCTTGAAACATATATCCCTATAATCATATGAGTAAAAACTATAAAAACTTGATGTTAATAAATATATAATGAGACGATTCCAACAAAATCTCACATAGTCACACGACCATGTTATCTAAGGGAACTTATGGTCAAAATTTTCAAAGTTTTACCCAAATATTCTCTCCGTTCCAGAATACTTGACACGATTACCATTTTCGTCCGTCCCAAAATACTTGACATGTTACTAAATATGGTATGAGATCACTAATAAAAAAAATATTTTCCTATACTCTCTTTGAAACCACAAATCCCAAAACCAAATTAAATCCTACATTTTCTCTCTCCTCACTACCCCCACCTCCCCCACTTTTTTGTTTTTTTATAATATAAGAATACAAAAGAAAATCCTTTATATTATAAACAAATGTTTTAAATGGATTCATTTGTAGTTTTTTTAAACTACGTATTCACCCCATTGTCCTAATTATTATGGGACAAAGGGAGTATTGACAATGAGCCAAAAATTAAAAAGGAAGGATGAAGTATGACTAAATTTAAGCTCACAATACAACCTATAACTTTTATAATCTAAAAACCAAAAACTGAAAACTAAAAACTAAAAACGGACAAGGATACCAAATGGACCCCTTAGCTTTATAGGTTATAGTGTTGTTTAAAGGAGCAGGATTACATTAATTTATCTCAGTAGCTCTTAGGTTATCTTTTATTTAAATTTTATAAATCTAAGTTTTTATCATCGATTAATTTAACAAGCATTGTACAGTAATATGAAGACTTTTGTAAGCAAATACAAAGTACTCCGTACTACTTATACGAAAAATTAGTACCAAGTCAAAAATCAAATTAGGAGTTCATCCAACCTACACGTTAATGTAAGACTACAATCTATCAATTCATATTTCCATGGAGAATGTGAGAGGAGAATATAAAGTTAGAGATCGAGTGTGAAATCTCCCTTGTTAATACTTATAAGATGTTATATGGCGTACTCGTACTTCGTAGCATTTATTTCAAATATAACATTCAACCATTAGAGAGTTTTTTATTTTTTATTTTTATTTTTATTTTTTTTCCTTCAAGTATACAAAATCATTAGCTACCATCCGCTACCATGGTTTCAATTGGGCAATAATTGCTTTAATTGGTTGCTACTTGCTACATAACTTTCAACAAGATGAATTCCCAAAATTCCAAAATTAAATTCCACACAAATTTTCTACATGTGCTTGTCACACCGTGTGGCCGGGGTTAGTCGAGTTACTTGGTTAGGGGTTATTTGAGTTACTCGATCAGGGCCTTAGAGGTTATTTGAAGGGTTCGATTAGGGGTTACTCGGTCAGGGGTTACTTGAGGGGTTCGACCAAGAGGTAGTCGGTAAGGGGTTACTTGAGGGACTACTCGGTCAAAGGTTACTTGAGAGGTTACTCGATCAAAGGTTACTCGGTTAGGGGTTACTTGTTGAGGAGTTCGGTCAGGGGTTATT